TTTATTAAGAGAGCGTTCGACTTCCTTCTGAAGTCATGCTCTTCGTGGTCCTCTTTTCTTCTGGCGCTCTTTTGGAGTTGTTGATGCTTCACCCACAGGTGGCCGCATCGAAAGCCTTTTTGAATGGCGGCTCTACTAGTAGTTGGGGCCTCATTGGGAGTCACAGTAGACGAAAGTATTGATTGTGGGACCACGTGCTCCACTTTCTGTTTCTCCGTCCTTGTGATCTGGAGTTTGTTTGGAACCTTTTGTTCCACAGGCCGTTGTTCTGGCTGCCCCTCCTTTGTCATACTGTTAGCTTTAAGCAGTAGCTTGACATGGCTGAAGCGATATGCAATTCTACCTCCACTCTGGACCAATGAGTTCCAGGATGCATCGTCGACAGCAAAGACGATGTGAAGTAGTGAGCCTTCTGCGGTCCGCTGTAATACTTTACAGGTGCTTGCTTTAATCCTGTTCTGGGCCTCAATTGTGGCAAGAACCTTGGTGTTTTCAAAATCGCAACTGTGTAGAAAGTATCCTCGCACCAGGTGTGTTTTTGGGAACTCCGACTCTTCAACCACTTTGGCGCCCAGTTTAGCTTTTGTTGCAATAGCTGCCGCATTTTTACGGACCCATTCAGCCGTTTGGTTATTTGTGCACACCACCATGAGCTATCCTGTGCGAGGGAAACAACCTTCAAATTCTGGTTTAACGTCGTCTGATGCCAACTCTATGGCAGTCTCAATTATGTTCCATGTTTAGGGGGCACTTAGCCAAATCAAAAGGAACAAATCCTAATTTGATCCCCTTGGCCTGACTGGCTACTTGGCTGAAAGAGGGTTCACTCGATCCCTGAATCGAGGTGTTCTGCTTTGGTTTCTTACCAGCTGGCATGACCATGTCGTTAGATAAAACCCTTTTAGGTGGCGCACGAGTTGGAAGTTTAGACACCATGTCTAGGGCCACATCCCTAGAGTGTCCCTGGCTCATGTAATCCTTTAACCTCCTTTTCTGCATTGAGTTCAGTTTTACAAAACCCTTCTGGTCATGTAAACTGATCCCTTTCATATAAACATTGACAACAGTAGCACCTGACTGTTCAGAACAGAGACTGACTCTATCAATGTCAATAGAGGAAGTATCAGACCCTTCAGTTTCTGTGCTGCTAGCATCAGTATACTGTTACCATACCATCTACAAAAGGTTCACTGACCTGTGACATAACAGTCGACTGGTCGTTGTTAATTCCCTGCCCGACAGCAGTAGTGTTTGATGCGATAAGGGTAGCATCATCCCCTTTAGTTTGTTTATTAGATGTATCCATATGATATCTCACGAGTATTAGGGAAGTATAAAGTCGCCATCGGCAGAGCCCATTTACCGACAGAAGGCAAATTGAAAGCGGAGGTCGCCTGGTATCCGCAGTTCGCTATTAAGGTCATCACTAGCCCCGTGACCAAGTTCCTACAGGCATAGCTGTTCCACCGTAGATTGGGGGGTTGTTCGGGTCTCATTCATACATTCACACATACTGTAACGACACGGATTCGTCGTTTTTATTTTGCTGAGGTATTACTCAGTCGTGGTCCGGGTCGTTGCAATAAATTTGTTTTATTGACCAGTTCGAAGTTGGTAAACCAAGGAAAGTTAAAAAGTCGTTTGATTTTATTTTAAAATTTATTTATTAAAAAGTTTTCTTAAATAATTTATTTTAAGCTTGACTCTACTTAATAAGTTATTTTAAGTTTGACTCTACTTAATAAGTTTTACCCAAAGACGTCAGAACATCAAAGGGTTTTTTCCAAATCTACGCAATTAGTTTTTAGCCAAAGACGTCAAAACATCAAAGGCGTTATAAAATCTACTTAATACCTTCTACTGATTTATTTAGCCTTAGCGTCGAAACACCATGGGCTTCTAAAAGGGACTTAGCGCTGGAGTATTGATCTACTCACTTCGGTGTGCCGGTGCTAAGTGATTTTTCATATAAAATCTCCGCTATTTATATACGACACTTTGCTTTGCTTAATTGCACGCACAACCGCACAAGTATAATTCGCTGTCAGCTTTGTTTTACTTGTCGTGTGTGCGTATGTTCGCGGTTGGCTTTGTTTTGCTTGTCGTATGGATGTTCGCTGTGTTGATCGTGCGTGTGGATATTCGCGGTGTTGATCGTGTTTAAATAATTTTTATGCAGAGAATTTTAGTAATAATAGTAAGTTTATGTAGGGCGGAAATTTGTACAAAATTCCGTCCTTACAATACTACACCATATATCCTTATATAAAAATTTTAGACTAGGGACAAAAACTATAGATTGTTTCATATCTTCATTCAAACCCAGGGTGTTTTCCTTCACCTCGTCTAGTTGCTGGCGACCACAAAACCAGCAGAGACATGACCTAACTGCGTTGGGGTCATCGATCCTACAAACAACTAAACTTCCATTAAAGGCCGATCGATTGACTGACGAACTTAATGAGTAGCACCAAAATGCAAAGACTCATCTGCTCCCCGGGACGCTTAGATGTTATAGTAGCTGTACGCTACTTGGTGCTAACCCAGATCCTTAATCTGTGTTAGCTTGGTAGCCAATTTTTATGTGTAAAGTAGTTTAAGCACTTGTAACCCAAACTACTTGTATTTTCTATGTTGATTATTTTGAGCACTTGAAACCCAAACTAATCGATGCGAGAAAGTAAGAAAGTTATAATTGATTTCGTTTCTTTTTCTTTACCTTCTGAACTTAATTAAAATTATTTCTTATATTTATACAAAATTATTTTATTAACAAGCTATTAAATTATGCATTAATAGAAAATAAATATTAATGCATAATTCACAAATAAATAAATTTGCCTACGCTGTGCTGACATAATTATAGGCCAACATATTACACACTTTCTTTAGTGCATTGACCAACAAGAAAAGCTGATAATGCAAAATTGCACTTTTCGTTGGTCAATGACTGGTCGCAGTGTTGGCCCAAATAATATGTAAACACATGTAACCAAATAACAAAAAAAAACAAAAATATAAAATAATATTAATTAAATGCAAACATAAACATTCTCCCCGCCGTTGAGTGCTAACTCAACTTGTCCTAGGTTGTGGTCACAATGAAGTCCAAATTTTGTTGACGTAATTCTGCATTCTGCATATCATTTCCTCGTGTTGAAATTTCGCTTATTGTGTGTTTCTGACATATGTTATGTTTGGTTTTCCAAGTAATGATTATTATTATTGTTATAGAAATTAACAACGCCAAATAACTTATCGTATGATGATGAATACTGTTTAATCGCACTCTAGAGGGAAGATAAGTCAAGTTTTCCTCAGTTAGCTGGTTTTGTAATTCTGTGAGTTCCTTGAGTTGTGTTTCTACATCATTAGGTCTTGTGTTGATAAACTGTTGATAAATTTCCAAATCGCGGAAATGACGTGGATACAATGCTGGAGATAAAATAGTGGCCATGAATGGTTATTTCTGCGTTTTTAATGATGCACGTAGGTCCAAATGTAAGCATTCCGGATCCTATCAGTGAGAACTGACTCAAGTAGGTCTCACAACTTGCTGACATCAATGTTTCAAGTTTTGTTGCGTATAGCCACTGGTTCGGGTTGTGTAGTTGTTTCAATGCAATATTTCCTTGAAGTTTTATTATATTGCATGTTGTATATATTAGGTATATATTATCCTTGGTTAAAAAACATTCCCGTAACTCATGGTCATCAAATGGAATGTACTGATCTCAAACAGTGTTGGTTGCCAAGTACTCCACTTCAGTTTTGCTAATTATCATGGTTTTGTTTATTACAACCGGTATCGGTGTTGTCTTGAACATTTCAAATTGCTGCTTGTCTAGCAGTGGTAGTTGTATTAAAAATAATACATGCTGATTTTTAATTGTTGACTTCACTTTCATTAGCTTGTAAAAATCGGTCAAATTGTCTTCTGTGAACGGTAGTGTACGCGATGATGGTAAGTGGCCTTTGATTCTGTTAATCTCCTTTGTTAATTGATCAGGAGTTAATAGCAGTGGACTGATTTTCCCATGATGTGTATCTGTAAGCACATCAATTATCTCCGACTGGATGTGTTGAAGATTGGATACCATTAATGTGAGTTCTGCAGATAATGAAAGTAGTAATTGAGTGACATGTATTTGTTCTGTTGCAGTTCCAATTCTATTCAGAAACTCATCAACCTGCTTTTGCAAATGATTCATTCAGGACTGCATGGTAACTTCATCTCGTTTGATTATATTTATTGTGGAATCTGTAATAGATGTTTGATTATGAATTAACTGCATTGCATAATCATCTTTACTGTTAAGTTGATTTATTGTGTCAGACATGCTCTCAGCGTAGTCTGAATCAAGCACTCCGAATAAGGTGTGTGCAATATTTCCTACTATGTTAATTACAGCTCGCTTGTTCCGGCTTTTATATAATAATGTTTGACCTTGCAACAACTCATCTCTTACATGTTTAAAATGAGTATAGAGAGAAGTACATGCTGTATGTGTTTGCAATTCTGAACATAAACGTTTGATGGTTTTAGTCCCGTTGTTGAAGGAGTCCATTTCGGTCCAATATGGATGAAGATCTTAGTAAACAATCATTTTCCATTCTGCCCTTGCTACTTTCATCAAGCCAATGGATTCAAAGTTTATTCCTAAATTATTGTCGAAACGTGTTACATTCACTGAATTCCCTAATACCAATGGCAGGAATAATAGAGATAATAACATTGTGCACAGTAATGAATTAGACATTGGCCGTGAATACTTTTTAGGTGGCTCGTCTTGATCTGCGCCTTCGTGTGGTGTTTTCGAATTCACTTTTGTAAAACTTTTTGAAAGTTGTTCATCAGAAACAGGAGATTGGTTATCGGCTGGAAACAGAGGCGCTAGTCTTGTCAAAGGACGTGTTAAAGTTCCTGATGCCATTTTAACATCAACCACGCGAACAAGACCGTCATCTCCCTTATATACCTTTGAAATACGTCCAAGCGGTCATTTTAATGTAGAAGCATTGTCTTCCTTGATGATTACAAGGGTACCTTCTTTTATATTTGGGTTGGCTGATTTCCATTTGTGTCGACATTGTAGTTCAGTGAGGTACTCGGTTTTCCAACGTTCCCAAAAGTCCAATTTCAGGCGAGAAACTAATTTCCACCTTGTCACCAGATTTATATTTCCTGATTGGGCCTTTGCATCTGCCATTGCTGTGAGAGGTTCTCCGATTAAGAAATGACCAGGTGTTAGTGCTGACAAGTCATTCGGATTACTCGACATAGGTGTCAATGGTCGAGAGTTCAGTATTGCTTCGACTTCTAACACCACAGTCTCTAGTTCCTCATATGTTAGTGAAGTCGTCTTAGTACTTCGTATCAATAAGTGTTTTGCTGATTTGACTGCTGCTTTCCACAGTCCACCGAAGTGTGGTGCACGAGGAGGTATAAATTTAAATGTTATTCCTCTTTCATTACATTCGTTAATTATCTTCTCTTGTGCCTTGCTTGTTTGAATTGAGTCTGCAAGTTCAATTAGTTGATTGGTTGCTCCCACGAAATTTGTGACATTGTCACAAAACAAATTTTTGCAGTGTCCTCTTCGAGCAATAAAACGTTTCAGCGATCCGATGAATGCATCTGTGGTTAAATCGCTAACTACTTCGAGGTGAACTGCCTTAGTTGTAAAACAACAGTACACAGCAATGTATGCCTTGTGTGGTTTCTTGCCTCGGATTCTGTAATGTATCCAAAAAGGTCCGCAAAAGTCCACTCCAGTGGTGAGGAATGGTAGCCCAGGATGTACTCTTGTCGCTGGCAAATTACCCATCAGTTGTTCATAAAATTGTGGTCTTACTTTAGTACAACGTACACAATGTTGTACTACTGACCTTGCCATCAATTTGCCCTTAATTGGCCAGTATCGTTGACGCATGTTAGCTAGGAGAGACTGCGGACCACAGTGCATGTATTTTTTATGGACTTGTTCCATTATTAATTTGACAATGGGGTCGTTATAAGGCAACAACATAGGATGTTTGGCGTCATACGATAATGAGGCTGCATCCAAAAGTCCACCAACTCTTATGATGCCCGTATTATCAATAAAAGGTGCCAGTGATGCCAATGCACTGGACTTATTTATTCTTCCATCAGATTTCATAATTTTGATTTCATTTTTGAATTCTGCATATTGAATACTTTTGATGATGACCTGATGTGCTGCATCTAGATCATATGGAGTCAAAAAATTGCTTGAATGATCATTTTGTTTTCTTCTGGTTCTTTTTACGAATCTTAATATATACGATAATATCCGTTGAAGTCTTCCAAATGAGTTGTTGTGTCGTATTGAGTATATGAACTCTCCAGGATTTGCTGTGCCTTCCACAACAGACAATGTAGATACTGGAGTTTTCTTCTTCCGTTCAGGATCAATGAGGGTTTCGGACTTTAACGCTGATGATGGTTTTGAAGGCCACAGTTCTTCCCGACCATGCAGGAACATAGGTCCATAAAACCACATACTTGATGACTGTAGTTTATGGGGTGCAAGGCCACTTGATTAAATGTCAGCAGGATTGTGTTCCGAACTGACGTGGCGCCACTGACTTGTGGCTGTTAATTGATGAATGTTGCTTACTCTGTTTGCAACGAAAGTGTGAAACTTTGATGATGGAGAGTTGATCCATGATATCACTATCTGTGAATCACACCAAAAGAACGTCTGGTAATTTCTTATTTGTAGATCGTTCTTTATTCTTGTTGCTAGTTCTGCGCCAACCACAGCTGCACAAAGTTCGATGCGAGGTAATGTCAACCTTTTTAAAGGTGCAACCCGAGATTTGGCGCACAATAGTCGTACAATAATTTGACCATTCTGAAGTGTTGATCGCAAATACGCTGCAGCACCATATGCCTTTTCTGATGCATCTGTAAAGATGTGTAATTGAATGTTGGCAGGAACTTCGCCTTTGAAAATATGACGAGATATCTACAGACAATTTACTTTTGTCAAATTGTTCCGGAACTCTAACCACTGTTTATGTAATTCAGTCGGCAGTTTTTCATCCCAATCCATCTTTAAATTCCATAATTCTTGAATAAAGATCTTTGCCATCACCACAACTGGTGACAAAAGTCCTAGTGGATCAAATAGCCTTGCTGAATCTGAGGTTGCACTGCGCTTCGTCGTGCTGCAAACAGGTTCCATTTTAACCTTGACGCATAAACTATCAGATTTTGGACACCAGGATAACCCAAGAGTTTTTGTTGTATCGTTATTATTTTCTAAATCTAAATTGACTTCTAAGTCATCGTGTGGAATTCCTTGTAGTAGACTTGGATGATTTGCGCACCATTTTTGCAATTTAAAACCGCTTGCTGTCAGTATTTTGTTTAATTGAGTCTGAGTTTCCAACAATGTTCTCAGACTATCTGCCCCGTGTAAACAGTCATCTACATAGAAGTTTTGTTTGAGAGCAGATGCACCTAACGGATAATTTTGCATATTGTCATCAACTAAAACTTGCAAACATTTGGTTGCTAGATACGGTGCTGATCTAGTACCATATGTTACTGTGTTGAGTTCAAAGTACTTTATAGGTTGACTTGGTTAATTTCTCCAAACAATAAGCTGACATTGTCTATCTTCTGGATGTACAAGTATTTCTCGGTACATCTTTTCAATCTCTGTTGTAAACACATAACAAGGAAGACGGAATCGTAATAAAGTAGACAGTAATTCACTTTGAACAGTTGGTCCGATGTGTAGTAAATCATTGAGAGATTGTCTTGATGTTGTTTTGGATGATGCATCAAATACCACATGTAACTTGGTGGTGGTACTGTCAGGTTTAAGAACACAATGGTGTGGGATAAAATAATGTGGTGACATAATCCTTTCGATATCTATTTCGGTCATATGTCCCAATTTTTCATATTCATCTAAAAACTCTACGTATTGTCGTTTGAGGTGACTATCCTTTGAAAGTCTACGCTCTAGTGCTAGAAATCTATTTGTAGCAATGTCTTTCGAATCTCCCAAAGCGAATCTGTCATTTATAAAAGGAAGAGGCACGATGAATCGTCCCGTAACACTCTGATATGTAGTTTGAGTGAATTGAGCTTCACATTGTTGCTCTGCTATTGACAAGACCTTTGAGTGAGTATCAACTTCTTCAACCTTCCAGAGTTGTTCTATTGCATTTTCCAAACTATCTTCTGATGCTATTCCACATGTTGCAATCATTGTGTTAGCATTTTAAATTTTTCCAGATACGATCCATCCGAGCACAGTGTTCTGTAGAATTGGTAGTTCCCTTGAAAGTTGTATTTGACCAGGACTTAGGAGTTGATGATAAAATTCTGCTCCAAGCAACATATCAATTTTGTCAGACTTATAGAATGTAGGATCTTCTAATTGGATGTTATTGGGCAGATTCCCATTTGAAATTTGTAAGTGCTGCGATGGTTGATTGGATACAATTTTTGGCAACACAAGTGCTTCAAGTATTGTTTTGTAATCGGTCACTTTTGATTGCACAGAAAGTGTTGTACGACTTTTAGAACTCAATTTACCTATCCCTATGCCTTCGATGCAAATCGAACTG